CTCTTGAATGAAGAGATATGTCTCTTGGATGAAGAGAATTGTCTCTTCGTGTGAAGAGGTGTGCCTTTTGGGAAAAAGGGTTTGAATTCTTTTTGAAATGAAGACTGACCCTAATTAAAGGGGGTGAGAGGTTTGAAGAGAAAAGGGGGCGAGAGGTTTGATGAGAAGAGGGTGGTGTGATAGATAAGCCTTGAGAGAAGAGAGGATTTTCTTCTAGAGCTATAAGAGGAGTGGGAAGGTGAGAGATTTCTTCTTTATTACATTTCTAAGAGAAAATTGAATGTGATTGAAAAGAGAGAAAGTGCTTAAAGGGAATTACAATTTGATAAAGAGTGTGAGATAAATTGTGTTCTTTCTTTTCTTTATGTTGTAAACTTATTTTTATAAATAAAATCTATGTTTTATCGTATCCTTCTCATGAATTCTGAGTAGTCTTCTTTATTCTTCTCCCTACAAAGAGATATGGTTTTGTGAAGAATTAATTTTGTTATGTAAGGTTTTAAATGTCAATAAAATGTGATGATTCGAACTACGATCTTCATTTACTTTTTGATCTAGCCAATTGAAATGTTAAAATTTATTGAGAAACATAAGATCTAAAAGGGTCATGCTTTCTACAACAAGATAAGAGTCACATTTAATTTCATCGGTGAGAACTGCAAAATAAATAGGAAAATATAATTTGATGGTCGAAGAATTGGAGACTTTAAGGTGACAGATTAAAATCCCCAATTTGGTCCAGTTGCTTGGAAACTAAAGTGAGATTGTTAGCACTCAGAGGAGGGAGCTGTGAGAGTTCTGGAGTGGCAGCCAATATCCTCTTAACCTAAACACGGATTTAGGGACCAAACTCTGAATTAGTCAATGTTTTTTATGCACTCTTAGAGAGTAAATAATAAGATTGTTCCTATTTGACACAATACAATTTAATATGTATTTTAAATTATTTTAGTTACTTCACAATCCATAAACTCATTGTAAATGGGAATGATGCTTTCTTAAACTTGATGTCTTCGTTACAAAACTTTGCTTAGTCTTTATAAGTTTACTTTTGAAGTTTAGTAAATAGCTTAGTTAATTAATTCTTTTGACTGCATCTTAATTAACATACAGTTAATTTACTTTAGATTTATTTTGCGTACTTATGTTTCATTGTTGGAATATTCTGTTTTGCATTATAACTATAAGAATTTCCAACTTCCCGTGAGATTGATACTTAGGCTCCATTAGAGCCCTTTATTACTTGTGCGATACATATACTTGCATTATTATTACGGTTTGGCAGCTTAAAGATTTTAAAAGGTAAAATTATTTATACAAATTTTTTTTTATTAGGATTGAACTGTATATTTACTATTTGTGCTGCCGTGTGTGTATTGTAATATTAAAAGATATTTGCAATGTGCCACAAAATCGCGCATCACTAGGTCAACTCGAACTAACTCGGGTAAACCTAAATCAAGTAAATCACCAGTAATCCCGAACTAACTCAGGTTAACCTAAGTTAACTAAACCACATGTCCAACTTGACCTAGCCTGGCTTAACCTAAAATAATAGAATTATTGGGTCAACCTGACTTAACTCAGGTTAACCTTATTTGACGGAACCACTGCCTCAACTCAACTTAACTCAAGTTAACCCAATTTAACAAAACCACTTGGCTAACCCATCCTAACTCTGTTTAATCTAAATTAGCCCAATCCTTGGGTTAACTTGACCCAAATCAAGTTAACTCAAATCAACCCAATTTGAGACTCAACCTCAAATCAACCCAAGTTTATGTCATGGTTCAAGTTATTTTAATACATATCCAAATTTAAGCTTATCCTTAACCGATATAAATTTGTTTGATGTAGTAAAATTTCAAATACAAATACATGGTTATGATTTTTTTTCTGGGATCTGAAACAATCACTCTAATATATAGAATACATTTTAAAGTAATGAATACATTATGTCCTAGAATAACGAAGATAGCTCAATCTATAGATCGTATTATGTTAATAGAAACAAATTTACTTGCTTCAAATAAAACAACAAACAGAGTTATTAAATGGAATAAAGTTACTTTTTACAGATTTTTGGATTATTCCTTTGGGCCTTAATCCTAAATCAATTATTAATTAAGAAATAGATCAGATTATTCAAAAAATTGATGGAGAAGTAGAAGTACGATTTAACCCTAGATGATCCATATCCCTAGCTAGAATATCTCTACCATCTACTTCTAATTCTCCTTTTGTTTTGACTTATGAAAGATTGGTTAAAGAAGAATTAATTAATGAATATTTACTAATGTTCAGTTATATTCTCATCAAACTCTACATTAAGTAAGATATAATTTCTCTCCTCCTCCTTCAGAAATGAATTTTAGTTTTAAATGAATTACAAAATAAGTAGATGACAAGGTATCAATGGATAGTGAAGAGGTATCTGACAATTGGGAAAATTTACAGATGATAATAGTCTAGAAGAAGAATCTCCATCTGACAGACGAAATTTAATGGTGGCCCCACCATGATCCAAAAGCTACCAAAAGAAGATATTCGAAAATCAAAATAAAATATAAAAGTCACGACCAACTCAAAAGTGCTCCCCACTACCTCCTCTTTCCAACGTACGTAACTTTAAGCTTTTGTAATTTCATCTGTTATTATGTTCTACTTAAGAATTTTAGAGTTCGTTGGTTTGCCTGAGCTTTATATATGTCAGTAGTATTCTGTGTTGATGTGTGCAAGGACTAAATTTCATTTTTATTGTAACGAAGTTGTAAGGGATGCATCGTAGAACTCTTCCTTCTTGTAGTCTATAAGTTTTTATTTTAATATATATAAAGTTGTGTTTTAATAATAGTGTAGCACTTTTTTATTTTAATTTTTAAAACTAAATTCCTGAGATGCAATTTAGTATTTGAGCCATGAAGGGCTAAATCTTGCTAAGGAACTCATATATGTAGAAATAAAATAAATTTTAAATAAAAATGGTTAAATTTTATCTTATACTTGAAGTCGGGTTGAGTTGGTAAGCTCTATAAATCACTGACTGTGTATAATGATAAATTTATTAATCCTTTCATTATTCTCGTAGAAAAATATGATATAATTTGTAAGTTTCATAATAATTTTAAAAATAGCTGGATCAGCGAGACGAATGCAAGTTAAATTTTTAATTTTTAAACTATTGTAGTATGAATACGAGACTAAACTGGAGGTTATTTCTTAAGTCGATCAAAAAGAGGTGCATCATCTAAAGCAAGAATTTTATAAAAAATCAACAACTTAGTTTAAAGCTCCTAAAAATCACTGAAATTGTTTTGTATCAGTAATTATGTGACAAAATTTGTCAACAAATTCAATACTGTGATGAATAGAGATTATAAAAGAGAAATATTATGTCCTAAAAATCTAATTTTAGTGTGGAATATTTTAATTTTGGGAGCTAAAATAACTAATTTATTTTCCTTAGAAATCCATTTAAAAGTATTTAAGTGCTTAATATGTTGTTCAATAGTACTCGAAAAATAAAATATATGATCAATATAGATAATAATAAATTAATAACAAGGATAAAAAATTTTATTAAAAATCTTTTGAAGTTCAAATAACATTACATTCCATTCATAATGACCACAAGAAATAGTAAACTGCTTTATGTCGATCTTGCTCTTTTATTTGAATTTGTCAATATTCAAATTTAAGGTTTAGAAAATAAGATATTATTTATGAAATTTAATAGATTTTTTTTATTTGGATTTGGATATCTTATCCATTTAAGTAATTTATAAAAAGGTTAAAATCAAAAAAGAGTCTTGGTTTTTCTTGTTATTTTTTTGTAGCATTTTCAACATAGAATACTATACAACTCTAAGAATAATATGATTTACTAATAATTCATTTATTTCTTTTTTACACAGATTGAGATAATGTTCATTCATTTGACATGACATTGCTTTAGTTGGAATATCTTTTTTGTTAAAGTTATGTTCATATAGTAATTCAACACAATGAATTTTTCTTTCCAAAAATCTATAGGAGTATTTTTAAAAAGTTTCCTAACCAAATAAAATATCAAATTATTTCGAATCCTAAAGAACTAATTATCAATGAAATTAATAAATCAAAGCAAAAAACTTTTCATATTAATTTCTTGCAAGAAGAAATTAATATTAAAAAAATAAAAAAAAAATTTCAAAATAAGAAAAATACTAACCTCATAATTCGTTAATAGTTTTTATGTGTTGAGTCCATTTCTTGAAGTTGAATGACCTCCGACTTATAAATCAAGGATCACCAGCGAAATCTATTTAAATCCTCGACGCAAGTAAATTTAAACAAAAAAAAAAAAAAACATTTGCAGGATAAATAAGGTCAATTGAACGTCACAAGCTCCAAAATTTTTCAATGGCATGAAGATATTTACTATAAAAGGCAAATTCCCACATGTAGATCCAATTATGACAAGATTCCATTGTTATGATCCTTCCTCAATTTCTTCTTTGAGAAAAACAACTTATTCATTACATGGGATAAAAAAAAGATTGAAATTTGAAGGGGAAATTAGGAGCATAGAAGGCCTTTTGAGGTGAGACATCGAGGTTTCCCTAAAATAAAAGAGGCTTTAGAGGAGAAGGGTGAGAAGGAAGATGATTCCATGTCAGAGACCATAGCTTGGCAAGAGGAGCGAGAGATCAATCAAAATATTTATACTTAGGAAGAGAACAGAAGAAGAAGGGGAGCTGTCATGAGAGCTTCTTTAAAAAAAAGTTGAATTCAAAATTAGAAAATTGCATACTTATCACTCAATTTTTATGCAATTACATTTGACACACTTTAATTTTTACATATATGACATATTTTTTATGCAATAAAAAGTGCATTTCATTTTTAAAAAATAAAATAGAGATAGTTTTTATATGTTGTGAAAGATTTGATTGGTATAAATATAAACAATAATTTTTTTATGTTAGGACACGTAGATGCATTAGATTTGGATGGTATGATGTAAATGCTTGTAATTTTACGCGCCTCGTTTCGTCAGTGAACTAACCACCGTTGCCTCGGTGTAGTTGCATTAACGCAATCCAAGCAAGTTTCAGTGCCATGTGGTGGAGGAGCTTACGCCGGGCTGCGCTGCTGCACGTCTCCTCCTCCCATCCTCAATCCCATCAAGCCTTCCGCCTTCAGAACCCTAACCCCACCACCAGCATCACAATTCACTCCCGCATGCGCATCATTCCTCCCATCAAAAACCCTATATTTCCCTTTATCTCCAAATCCTTCTCTTCAAACCCCACACTAGATGACGCATGCAATGAAGACGACGCCGAAACGCTAAAGGATGACCATCTTCTCCAGGACGTAGACTCAGTGATCAATTCTCTTGGTGAATTTGGGTCCAATAGCGCAGAAGCCAAGCGCCAGATGGAGCAATGCGGCGTTTCGGTCTCGCCGGAGCTCGTGACTGCGGTCCTCTCCAGACTCCGAAATGATTGGTCTGCCGCTTTCACCTTTTTCCTCTGGGCGGGGAAGCAGCGGGGCTATGCCCACTCCGTCAGAGAGTACCATTCTATGATCTCTATCCTTGGAAAGATGCGGAGGTTCGACACGGCTTGGTCTCTTGTCAGTGAGATGAGGGCCGCGATGCCTGGGAGGCCATCTCTTGTCTCCTCCCAGACTCTCATGATCCTAATAAGAAAGTATTCTTCCATTCATGATGTTGGAAGAGCCATAAGTGTGTTCTATTCCTTCAAGAAGTTTGGACTTGAGGTCGGGATTGATGATTTTCATGGCCTCCTCAGTGCGCTCTGTCGGTATAAGAATGTGGAGGATGCTGAGCACCTGCTCATGTGCAACGAAGGTACTTTCCCTTTTGAGACTAAAAGCTTTAACATTGTGCTCAATGGATGGTGCAACGTTCTAGTATACGTCCGAGAGGCAAAGAGGTTTTGGAGGGAATTTGAGAAAAGAAGGGTTGAGAAGGACGTGGTTTCTTATGGGTGCATGATATCCTGCTACTCGAAAGCTGGTAATCTCAATGATGTCACCAAGCTTTTCAGTCAGATGAAGGAGCTTGGTGTTGCTCCTGATTTGAAGGTTTATAATGCTGTTGTGTATGCCCTTGCTAAAGCACGGAGTATTGATAAGGCCAAAGATCTTGTTAAGTTGATCGGGGAAAAAGGAATTGATCCAAATGCTGTGACGTTTAACTCTTTAATCAGACCCTTATGTAAATTTCGCCGAATCCAAGAGGCACGGATGGTGTTTGATGAAATGTTACAAAGAGGTGTAACTCCTTCAATACGGACCTTTCATGCTTTCTTTGATGTGCTTAAGACTGAAGAAGAGGTGTTTGAGCTACTTCATCAAATGAGGCAAACAAGTTGTAAACCAGCGATGGATACATACATTATGCTCATAAGGAAATTGTGTAAGTGGAAACAGCATGATAGTGTTTTTAGGCTATGGGGTGAGATCGGTGAATCTGGTCTTTGTCCTGATCGTAGTGCTTATATAGTTTTGATCCATGGTCTCTTTCTAAATGGGAAGTTAGAAGAAGCTTCCAAATATTATGAAGAGATGAAGGAAAAGGGCTTTGAGCCTGAACCCAAGACTGAGGAGATGATCGAAGCGTGGCTTGCTGGTAAAGTAGCTGCAGGGAAAATAGAAATTCTTGCTTCAGAAAGTGGTAGATATAACAATGAATCTATTGGGATGAATGGAAGAAATGTAAAGAACATGCCACACTTTTCTCAAAATTTTTTGAAAAAGCCAGAAACAAGGAGCATCACTAGGGAGCGTGGATATTCACTTTGCAGATAAAATGGTATGCAATGATATTTCTCCTATCATGTTTCCTAGGCAATGTGATTTTATGTTTCTCCTACCCTTGTTTTCCAGTCCAATGTGAATGGTATTTCATTCCAGTACTAGGAAATCAAACAATTTACTCTCATCTACTTAACAAATTATATGCTTGAGTACTAATTCTTTCTTCTATGTTTTTTAGATGGCATGACTTGTTCAAAGTTAAACAAAAAGAGAGTTATGCTTGATATTTTCTTTGACTATTTAGAAGAACCAAAAGGTAAATTTATTTTTTTATTTTTTATGTCCCAAGTTGTTATGCTTTTTTGTAGTTTTTAGAGAAGCTTATGCACATTGGCTAATCCTTTAAATTGTGTGTTACCTTCTTGAATATAAAATGAAAATCTATGGGTTTTTGCTCTCTTTTATGATGTTGGAATAGAGAAAGAAAGGAAAAGAAAATGATATAGAAGTATTTGAATTTATGGTTATAAGTGTGCGAGGTCACAATTCTTTTGTTTTTTTACCACGTTTAACTTGTGTTGTTTCATACCATTCAAATGGTGTTTGAAAATGCAGACATTTGGATGGAAACAATCATTTTATAAATTGCAGAAGTTTAAGAAAATATTGTATTTTTTATCCATACAACTTAATGAGAACGTTTTATGTATGTGAGACACAAATAACATTTGAGAAAGAAGGCGATCAACATCCATATCAAATAAATATATCAAATCTTAGTGTCTTGCAGATCAAATGTAGTGCCCTACAAATGGAATAATGGAAGGAAATCTTTATGAATGACTTGGATATGAACAATAAAGTTGAAATTTCTTTTTTTCCTTTTTCATTTTAAAAATTAGGCTTTTTAAAGGAAGAATATGTTTTATTATATTTTGCTTTAGCGTATAATTTTGTTGTTATCAATACTTTATTTAAGAAAAGAGATAAACATATTATTACTTATAAGAATGAATCTAATAGAACACAAATTTATTATTTCTTTATGAGAAAAAGCTATCGTTGAGAATGTCAAGATTTTTAAGGCCATTCTAAGTGAAAATTTAAGTAATCAACATTGATTATTAGTTCTAGATTTTACGATGAGGAGTTATAAGATATAAAATAGAATGAAACATTATCATATAACTAAAATTTTAGGAGCACCTAGCTAATTATATGATTGTCTTTTCCACTATTGCTGTAGTTTTTTCCGCTATAAGGAGGCATCTTCTTCAGTTTAATGGCAACTAGCTTGACTAGTTTGTCTTCCTCTGGTACGTCTTTATACTTGAAAATCTGTTTAACTGATTATAACTACTCGATAAACTCATCGGGCTCCATGCCTCTCTTAATTTATTAGAGATTCATCTCGATGTCAAAGCCCCGCTGACCTCCATAAGGGGTCTCTTCTCTTGGCCTCCTTTGATATTGGATACCAAAATGACGTGATCGATATTCTTCGTCACTGTGATCTTCCATGTGAAACGGATTCAACTCCTCGTCCCTGTCTTCCCTTCCACTCTCCAGATCACGGTCGAAGGTAATTTCTTCCTGGTTTTTGTTATCCAGCTCTGTTAGTTTCTGCTGCAGATGATGAATTTTTCGTTGAATCTCTTCTTGAGTCATGTCCGGTGTATCCCTCCGCGGTGGCATGGCTAGGATTGGGAATCAGAAGGAAAAAAAAATTCGTGGAGGTGGCTTGGGCAGGTGTAATGTTAGGAAATCCTAGGATGAGACTATAGTTGAGTTAGCTCTGATACCAAATGATACCGGAACTAGTTAGGAATTAGCGAAACACAAAAACAAACTTTTATTAATATAAGAATAGAGTTACAACATGACTCAAACAGAAAAAAGAAATACAATAATATACGAATCTCCGGTTAGGGATGTAGGAAGAGATCCAAAAACCGTGGTGGCGTCGGCAAGGTGGTAAGGAAAGGTGGGGAAGGTCGGGTGGTTGTTTGGTAGGTTGGAATGGAGTTTGGTGGTTTGTAGGTGAGCTGGACAGCAAGGATTGTTGCAAGGGGTGGCAGATTGTGGGTAGTTGATTCAGAGAACTGGGCAAGCTTGGTGGTTGTGCGGAGGAGTACTGGTGCTGGAATGAGGGGGACTGTATGTCGAAACAACAAGTTGTGGTGGTAGTAGAGGTGGCTACAGAGCTGTGGAGCGAGATGGAGGTGGCGGGCGGCTAGGGAAGAGGTAGGATAAGGGTCGAGAAGAAGATGGGAGGAGATTGGAAGGATTCAATAGCATCTCTGAGCAGGATACAGCCGGAGCACCACCTGTTCTCGGATACAACTTTAGCATGAGCGAAAGGACTCCACATAGGAATTAATAATGCAAAAACCACCCAAAACTGAACCCTACGGTTAGAAAACACCAATTTATAGACTCTCTTTGATGAAGAAAATGAAAAAGAAACTCCCACACAAAAAAGAAGGGGTGGGGAGGCAAGAAAAATCGAGAAAATAGATATTAAAATACTAACCATATGGAGAAGAGCATATAACGAAGGAGATAAGAGGGGCGGAGTCCCACTTTGTGTAGAAGAGGCGAGAAACTCTCGCACGGTCTCTTGGATCAGTTCGCAGAGGGAGTTTTTTTCTCCAGTTGACTAAACTTGCTGGCGTCTCTGGCGCCGACGTAAATGAGCGGGCGCATTTGTGGCACCCGCATAAATGAGTGGGTGCTTTTATTCTCATCGAATATCATTAGCGAGGAACATACACCATGGTACATCCTCTCGTAAATGTCTATTAAGAGCATAAAGTCGATCCTTGATGTAATCCAACTAAAGTAAGAAAATACTAGGTCAATCCTCTTTCTGTTCGAACACAAGAAACAACTCTAGTATATATATTTTTAATGACTTGAATATAAGTCACACTAACACCTTTCTTTTCTAGAACTCATTAAAGAACTCCTGAAATCTTATCGAAAGCTTTTTCTACGACAACAGCAACAACAACAAAGCCTTAATCCCACTACGTGGGGTCGGCTACATGCATGAATCATCTCCATTGCATTCTATTTAGTGTCATATTTTCATTTAGTTTATTTAGTGTCTAGTTTTCATTTAGTTCTAGTAAATTAAGATAATTTTTTATACAATAAGCCCAAGTCTTCCTAGGTCTACCTCTGACTTTCTTAACACAAGTCAAATCTAAAACATCTACTTTCCTAATTATATGTAGATCATTCTTACTCTCTCTGCACTTTTCCATCCTTCTTACTCTTTGTATCGTATATTAACCTATGTTCACTAAGTCTCTCCCATAATTTTAATAAATGACACATTAACTTAATTCCTCTATAATGCTTTATTCTTAAAATGGGGACCAAACAACGCTTCCCTCCAATCATGTATCTTTTTAGTTTTTAAAATAATATTAAAAAGTTTAGTAAGTCAATAACTTCCTAAATCTTCTAAATATTTTCACAATTCTATTGGGATACCATGAGGTCCTATTGATTTTCCAGCCATGATGTTTTTTAAAGACTTCTCAACTCCTTTTTTACTAATGCGATGGTAAAATAAAAATTATTATTAATAATGATGTTAAGATCACTAAAGTCGATTATATTTTAAAAAATTAACTAATAAATTTATCTAAATATCTCACGCATCTATGATAAATATCTTCATCTAAGAATGTACTTCTTGATTTTCATATTTAATACAGTACTTGAATTAAATTGTTCTTTATTTTCACTTGTTTGGCTAGTTTATACATATATCTTTCACATTCTTTAGTATTATATATTATAAATATCACTAAAAATATAATTCTTAGCATTACAAATATTTCTGTTAGACTTCCTACATTTACCTTATATTTTTCTCAATTCTTTATGATATTTACATTTAAACCAATTTTTATAACAAAATTTCTTATATTTTCTTTTCTTGCATATTATTATTTCATCATCAACTATTTTTATTTATAAAAAAATTATGCTTTTGATTCTTCAAGTGAATATTTTGTCATTTCTTTAATAGTGCTTCTTATTTTATCCTACTGAATAAGCTTTTTCAGGAACATTGCAAATCATAAAATTTTGAAGTTTTCTCATAAAAAATACGTTTAAATGTTTTTTAAGTGTCCTCTATATAGTTCTAGGACAATGTTTCATTATTTTTTCACTTTCCAACTCTTCATCTTAAATTCCAAAACTAATAATCGATATTGAGTGCTTAAATTTTTACTTGGAATGACCTTACAAATTTTATATTTTCGATGATAACTTTTTCTCATAAAAACATAAACAATTTGTGTTTTGTTAGATTTATTCTCATAAACAATAATATGCTCATCAATCTTGCTAAATAAAATATTAACAATAAAAAAATTATAAGCTAAAATAAAATTCAATATGATTCTATCTTCTTAATTAATCACTCTAAAACCGTAGCCACCGTGAATATTTCTAAAATCTTCAATCACTCTTTTGAAATCTTTTGCAGTAAAATTTCTTTTCTTAAGAGTATCATTGTATTAATTCTTCTAGGTCATTCTAAAAATTTCTTTTGAATATATAACTAAACCTAATCGAGGAGCATAACTATTTATAACTCATTTAGTTATAAATATAACTCATTCATTTAATTTTGTAAAGAATTTTGGTATAAAAAACAATTTTTAGGGCTATAATTCTATCTCCAATCCTATTATTTTTTACAAAATTATCTTTGAAACTCTTATCTATAATTACACCATCATTTCTACCACGGCTCTTACACGAATACCAAATCTCAAAACTTAAGATATCAATCTCTTTAGCTTTTTCTCTAACTCATTTAGTTTTTGAATGCATAAGATATTTATCTTCCTATAAACTTTAATACCGGCTAATTCTATTAATTAACCTATCAGAGTACTTATATTTCAAGATATCCCAATATTAGTTTCATGGATTAACTTTTTTACACGTCCTCGTCATAAATGTGAGAACTCTTGCTTATTTAACTCTACATCCGAGCGCTAATGTAGTAGCTTTTGCACACTTCTCACTGTATTTAGGTCATACAACATATCTTTTTTAGGGGACGCTCTAGCATTTATACAATTATTTAAAGGATGCATGTCATGATATTTTCAACAAAAATTTTACGCTGGTTGTCAATTACCTAACACAACCCTCCACTTTTTACCTCCGTGGTTTGGGGCCCGACAACAACAGTGTTTCATAAAAGTACTCAAACAAGTGCTGTTTTTTCCTTTCTGAGAGGCCACGACAACACTTAAATGTTCTTGGATTAGGAAGCACATG